CCCTTGCTGCTGTCTTACCATGTTGCACTTCATTCCGTTCATGCCTCACAACTGTCGAGGCCAACGCCTATTTCAAGAGGTTGTGTACCAATCTAGACATTTTTGTCGTCTCTGCTTTCGGGGTTCCCAAGCCTTGGCCTTCAATGGCCACCGAGACATTGATTTCCTTGTTCGATAACTTCCTTTACAAAAGATCTGCAGAGTATGACTTTGTCCTCGACAGCCTTTGGCAAAGGGACCGGGAATGGGTGACTCAAAGGCTTATTGACGCCCACGCCGTCAAGCCGACCGATCTGCCTCTAATCTTCGAGCATGCAGTCAAGCACAAGTGGCTCGAGGACCTCGTTTCGCTTACCAGTGGCTTTGGTTTGGACCTCGCAGCTTTCGCACACGCAGAAGGCTACCTAGACCTTGGACACTGGGCTCGACAGAATTCCGAACGGAGCGCCGAAGTAGCCCGATCCCTACAACAATTCTTGCTTATTAAGGCAAATCTTGAGCTTCAATATCAACGCCCGCCTGATGGGCAGTCCATCGTCAAATCCACGACCCTTCAAGTCAAAACCGTCTCGGCACTTCTCCAGATATTGGAAGACTTCATGCCCAAGGCTCCGGTCCACGACTTGATCCTGGTGCAGCGGTCTTGTATCACTGTCTACCCCCGCCTGATCAACTATGGGGAAGGGTATGACGACGTTATCGATGCGAACGGTGCTGACGGCAATGCATTGCCATTGGCTGCAAATGCGAAAATGGAAGAGCACTACAAAAAGATGTACGGCGACGAGATACAGGTTCGGAATATCGTCGACGTCCTCCGTCGGTATAAACACTCTCGCGATCCCCTCGATCAGGACGTCTTCGCTTGCATGATTCATGGGCTTTTCGACGAGTACGCTCATTACGTGGACTATCCGCTCGAGGCACTCGCAACCACAGCGGTTCTATTTGGCGGTATCATATCGCATAAGCTGATTGCGGATCTACCGCTCAAGATCGGACTGGGTATGATTCTTGAAGCTGTGAGAGACTATCCTCCAGATGTCTCCATGTATAAGTTCGGTCTGCAAGCTTTGATGCAACTTTTTTCACGTTTTAGAGAGTGGCCTGGATTCTGCAAGCAACTGCTGCAGATACCCGGCCTCCAAGGAACAGAAGCATGGAAAAAGGCCGAGGACGTTGTCCGAGAACATGAAGAAGAGGGCAGCCGTTCGCGCACCGGCCCCAACCCACCCACCCACGCAGCTGCGTTCTCTGCTGAGCCTGTCCCCAACGGCGGTGCTGACGAGTCCCGTGATGCTGATCGCCAAGCACCTCCATTTGCCTCGATCAACGCAGAAAGTTCATTCCCCGCGCTTGCATTTGAGAGTCCGTCGGATGACACCCAGGGAAAGATCCAGTTCGTCCTCAACAATCTTACAGAGACCACTCTCCAGTCTATGTGCAAGGAACTACGAGACATGGTCGAGCAGAGGCACCAGCAGTGGTTTGCCAGCCATCTTGTCGAAGAGCGTGCGAAGATGCAACCCAACTATCATCAAGTCTACTTGGATTTGGTGAAACTTTTCGAGGACAAGGTCCTTTGGGCGGAGGTCTTGAGAGAGACTTATCTCAGCGTTGCACGTATGCTCAACTCCGAGGCGACCATCACTAACCCTACCGAGCGCTCTCACCTCAAGAATCTCGGTGGTTGGCTGGGACTTTTGACCTTGGCACGGGACAGACCGATCAAGCACAAGAACATTGCTTTTAAGCAGCTTCTCCTCGAGGCACACGATACCAAGAGGCTGGTTGTTGTTCTTCCGTTCGTCTGCAAGGTTCTGATTCAAGGAATTCACTCAACAGTCTTTCGCCCCCCCAACCCCTGGCTCATGGATATCATTCACCTACTGATCGACCTTTATCATCATGCGGAACTCAAACTCAACCTTAAATTCGAGATCGAGGTGCTCTGCAAAGGACTTAGCTTGGACCATAAGACAATCGAGCCCTCGGGCGAGATTCTTAATCGTACCGCTGCCGACGAGCCATTAGAGCTTCTCGGTCACGATAACCTGGAGTCATTTGACAATCTGTCGCTCAACGGCCTAGCTACAGGCGTTAGCGCAGGTTTGTCACCACAAATCCTCCCAGCATCAATCCCAGACCTCGCGCCAATGATTCAAATACCCCCGACCAATGAGATGGTGGTTGCCACCACGCGACTGCACGATATCGTGCGCACTGCCCTCACTCGCGCGTTGCAAGATATCATTCAGCCGGTAGTTGACAGATCGGTGACCATTGCAGCTATTTCAACGAGGGAAATGATACGCAAGGATTTTGCTACGGAGCCCGACGAAAACAGAATCCGCACATCTGCTATTAATATGGTAAAAGCAACTGCTGGTAGCCTCGCACTCGTAACGTCCAAGGAGCCACTCAGGGGAAACTTCACCAACTACTTGCGAAACCTTTCCAACGACTTGCCGCAGGGCTTGCCTGAAGGGACCATCATAATGTGCGTCAATTCGAACTTAGACCTCGCCTGTAACATCATTGAAAAACAGGCCGAGGAGAGGGCGGTGCCTGAGATTGAAGAGATGATCGAAACCGAGTTGGACGCTCGCCGCCGCCATCGCGCGCAGAGACCGAACGAACCATACGTCGATCCTTCTCTTAGTCGGTGGGCATGGACCATACCTAATCCATTTAAGCTGTCACCGAGTCTCAGCGGATTGAATCCTGAACAAATGGCGATCTATGAAGATTTCGCTCGTCAACCGCGGGCCAGCAACACCACAACCGTCTCACACGCGCCATCGGTATCGGAGACAACCAGATCAATGGCCAACGATGTATTGGCAGATCAATTCAATTCCCTGCCCATCTCCACACCAGCCGAGACGCCCCGCGGCGCAACACCTGACTGCCCACATGCCGTCCTATGGACCCCCACATCTGGGTGCTGTCGCAAGTGGTCGGCCTTTTCAGCTGGACGGACGAGCCCTCTTCGAGAGGGTCCAGAAGCTCCTGGTTGAGCTCCAACGTGTGCGACAGAAGCCCGTGAAGACCATTTCATTGATTTGCCCAGGCCCCATCCTGTTCTCGACGTGGTGGATGCATTGGTTCAGCACATGATCAAGACTTCACAAAATTCGGAAGAATTTGCCCTCTTTGCTGCTGAGCAAATTATCCAGCTTATATTCAGCCAGGTTGAAGACAATCTTGCTCTGGAGAGTTTGGTTCACGTTCTTGAAACCCTGCGCAAAATCTCTGGACCGGGGTTGAACAATCGAGTGACGACACTGTTCCGACAACAACCTGGCTCGAGCTTCCTTCGCCTGCCGCTCCTGGCTGCCCTGTTGCGAACAGACTTGATCGACTGGAGAAATGTTGACGTTGCGCTGGCTAAGACGGTGCAGCAACGGAAAGAAGGTTCCCTGGAATTCCTGGAACAGATGATTGACCTGACCCTCTTGGGGACTCGGCCACTGGCCCTATACGGCGACTTCGTACGCACCCTGGATGTCGCATGGACTTTGGTCCACGATGATCCGGAATCGCCTGTTTCTCAGCGGCTATTGACGAAGCTGTCAAGCCAAGGTATTTCTCTGAGCGTGGCAGCGGACACCGATATCTTTGCATCAACGAGATCAAAATGGAGGATGTTTTTGATGAATGGGTTCATCTTCTATGGCAACCCCAATGCGCCCGACGATTCCGCGGTGCTCTTTGCGCGACAGAAGCAGCCAGAGGTCTTGCTAAGGAACAAAGACGATTTATTCTTCTTATCAGGGTCGCCGTCGACGTCTGTGTTGACAGGTACGAAGCATTTTGCGCACACAACAGGCACAAGTGCAGATGCCTTCGTCGCTACAGACGCACTCGCAAAAGATGATAGGCGTTCTTATCAAGGCCATGGAGCAGAGGGACGCGGGGCATAACGACATCAAGGCCAGTTTATCTTGACTCGATCCTAGCCCTGCTGACCCTCGTCCTGAGCCATCATCATTTGAAGCGAGTTGACCCCTTCAATCAAAGGGTTTTCCATCGTCTGCTATCCGTCTTGCTCCATGAAGTGGGCGCAATCGAAAGTCAAGTCGATGAGCTTGAGCAGCTTGACATGCTGCTGCGAATTGCCTCCCGACTCGCGGATCTCAGTCCCCGATACCTTCCGGGCTTCGCCTATGGCTGGCTGTCGCTTATCCAACACAGAGCATTTCTACCTGTTATCCTGAAGGAGCGTGCAGGCTGGTCAGCGTATACGACACTCCTACGCATGCTCTTCGAATTCGTTGGGGAACAGCTCAAAGCTCCTGAGCCCACCGCCGTGGCACGTGATACATACCGTGCGACATTAAAACTGCTCGTTGTCCTGCAACATGATTTCACAGAGTACATCGCTGCTCATTCCGACCAGCTACGCATAAGCTTGCCTCCCCACTGCAAGCAGCTTATCAATGCTATTCTCGCCGCAAACCCGGCATCTCAGGATGCTCTGAGTCCTAATGCGGATCAAAGTAATGGGTTGAAGGCGAAAGAGGGTACCGAAGACGACACTCCTATTTTGCTGAGGGAGCACGGTCTCCTGGGCGTAGTCGATCAGGCTCTGCACACTGGTCCATCGGAAGACGGCTTGGCTCACATGACGCGTGCCATCATCGAATCTGACGCCCGCGAAACCGGATTTGCGCTCGTCAGTATCAACGCGAATCTATCCGTCATCGAAGCGATCATACTCCATATTGGCAAATACGCTGTGGGGCGTTTGGCCCAAGGAGGAGAGTCTTTCAACCCATCTTCGACGGACGTCGCAATTTTGTCGCTATTGATGCATGAGCTGGCGCCGGAGCCCCGCTATTACCTCGTTGTCGGCATGGTTAACCAGCTGAGGTTCCCTGGCGATATGACGAGCTACTTCAGTCGAGTTCTGCTGGAAATTTTCGGCCGCGACTTGAATGATCCCGACGACACAGAGATCCGGCAGCAGATCACGCGCGTGTTGTGGGAACGACTGATCGGTTTCTGGCCACAGCCTTGGGGCCTCATGATCACGGTTCTGGAGCTTCTGAAGAACGAAAAGTATGCGTTCTTCGACCTACCATTTGTTAAGTCGTCACCCGAGGTACGTTTCCATTGCTATTGTTGCGATTTTCGTGTTACGTACATTGTGTGGTCAAAATTCTAACCTGGCTTCAAAGATAATCGATCGTTTCCACGCTGTTCTTCAGCGTGCGTAATGAGGTATACGACCTGCACTGGCAATGTGAACGTCAACGGTGTATGCCCGTCTGTGTCTTCGTGGCTGCTCTCGGTGTGGACGATGGCGGGGTACCTGCACCCCAAAAATAACGAAACACAGTACGCACAACAAGGCTTCCCGGGAGATCGCAAATATGTTTTGGTGTCATTACGGAAAGTGACGCAAATGAGGGCTTCACTCTTGGAGGACGGCGTTAAAGGATGCGCAACAGGGGAGCGCTGCATACCTTACGATGCATGACACTTCTCGACATGCCATCAATTTGTAAGATAAGGAACGGATCACCGAAAGGGGGGGGATCGTTGTAAGGCTAGGCAGTGGTTGTGGTAGAAGATGATAGCCAGCCTCACAGGCATAGTCTGCAGCAGTACAAATGTCGTCTGTTGGCCGGTCAAATTAATTGAACTGATGGCTCTTGCTATTCTCCTTCCCCTCATCGGGCCCTTATCGGGCGGCATGTTCCCATACAAACACTAAAGCCACACGTGCTCAGGACGTGGCAGCGTCTTAAAATATGGTACCAAAGGAAAACGGAATCCCCAGCGCTTACGTATCGGCTTATCATGAAGGCGCTCAAGGATACCTCTGAATCCATATTTCAGGAAGTTAAGGTCTAACTAAGTAACCGAAAATATCGAAGCAAAACAGCATGATGGTACGGCGGGCGATGAGGCCTTGTCATTGGGCCTTGTCAAAGACTCGAGAGTGGGGCACCGGCATATCCTATGCACCCCGTCATGGAAACTATGGAGCCCATCCAATGCGGCGGGCGTGTGAAAAAAAAGTTTCCCATGTCTGCCACCAGTTACAGGACACACATATGATCCATCACCTCTCATTCCCCTGTCTCCTTGTCATTGTATGACATATTGTACCAGCAGTCAGTTGCGAATGATCAGGGCCGGACCCATCTCTATATCACATCCCTCCTTAATCCAAGCAAACAACCACGCCCGTGTGTGTCTACTATATCGACCGCCCTTACGAAATTCACAAGTCGCTCCGGAACCAACCGTCTCACCCCAGCATCGCACTTCGACCGATAGCTGGATCGATCAATTTGGAATGCAATATGCCTTATAATACTCGCCGCAAATCCCTTTCCTTGACATTGCTTGGGGTTCACGTCCCAGTCTCCCACGCCGAACGAGCCGCTGCCGCCGCAGCCGCTGCTACTGGAGCCGCTGCTGCTGGAACACCCTCTACGCACCAGAATGTAGTAGAGAAGCGATCAGGGGAATACAAATCCACTACTGTCCCTGGTGCACGTCATGCCAACAAGAGGGCAAAGCTGTCACACGGGAAAGGAAGCTGCGCATTTCCACTTTCCCCGACCTCGAGTACGGCAATATCATTCGAAGAAAACGCCGCTGGCAAGTATAAGCACACTCCACCACCGTCACCGAAAAGAAGGCAAAGCAGGCTCGAACTCGACACAGAAAACACACCCAATCGACTGATCGACCTTGAGGGCACCGATGACAACGTTGTGGAGGCTGTGATATTACAACTCCAAGCGACATCAAATCGACCGCATCTCGTGAAAGAACTTGCCCCTATTCTCGCCGAGAGTCTCTCCATTGTTCAAAAGTACGTGTCAACAGTCTCGTTGATCTCCTTGTTTGATCGCTGCTAACATGCGACTACTTCAGCTCGGCGAACCCATCCGCCCTCATATCTGCTAGATTAGCCTCATATCTCAAGCGCCCATGCTGGTCTGCTTTGGCGCCCTGTCCACTAGCGAAGGAACTTGAGTCTTCGCGAAGTAATTATCATCTCACAACATGCGCCCGCAAAGCCGTTCCCCTCCTATGACTGCCCCTCAAGCTTTCGTCCTCCGGGTCGTCATATCCTCCTTCGATCCTCGAGTTCTGGGTTCTCTCTTCCGGTGACGACGACGATGATGCGCACGCCGTGAGTGAGTCCTTCGCAGAGGTCGATCTTTCACCTGACTTTGATGACATGGTCGATGATATGAATGTCCCCGTCACGCCAATTGGGTCTTTTTCGAAGACTGTTCGCATGCCCCGCTCCCTAAGAAGCGCCTCTCCCCCTTTGGAGAAGGACGAGAGAGAATTTACTCAAACGGCAGACGGACTTCATAAGCGCAAGCTGTCTGGCGAACCATTACCAGGCTGTGGAGAGCATGTCCAACCCGACGACCTTGCTCGGGATGACCTATTTGGAGACAGATCATACATCGCCGCTGGGTCAACAGTGTCTACGAATTTCATGGCTAGTCCGGCATTCCGAGCGACTTTCCCACCATCAAGCACTAGAAAAGAGACAGAAGATAACTGGCTGAAGTTTGGCAAGTCGCTCGAGTGGGACTACAAGCCCGAGGACATTGAGCTCGATGAGCTTGATTGTTTGCTTGATGCCTGCTGAGCACAGCGACCTTCGTCGAAAGACCCCGACTTGTGATATGATGGATAATCATCTGTATTTTTTATGGTTTTGTAGTGTACAAGATCAGGCTGTGTATGCAGCCTAGGCCTACGTTGAGATGAAGCAATGATAAGAAACGAAGATATCTCCTTCCAAACCCCATTCCGTACGCCGGAAGAGCTGAAGCTCTTTAGGCATACTCTAGAGAGTCCTTTAACGGCTGTCACGGATCGTGCGACGGCTCGCCACCAGTGGGTGAATCCACAGCTAGCTCAATCCATACCGTAGTGCCCAATTGCGTGATGAAGGGTCTTTCCAGTCGTACGATCCTGAGACCTGGTGTTAACTTAGCTGCGCCTTCGATGATTCCGACAATGTCTCTATTCCACCAGCAACCATACTTGCGGTAGTGTGCAAGCGCAGACCAGTCAAGAAGGGTATTGACAAGCCGCCACCATCCACGCCCATGCTCCACAAGTATGATCCTACCAGTTCCAACCTTGACGGCGCTTGCCAAATTGGATAAGACCTTTTCGGGATCTGACACACTACATAGACCAAAAGTCTGGACAACTGTATCGTATTTTTGGTCGTTGCAAACTGTCGGCTCTGGCGGCGGGAGTATACCCTGGATATCACACTGTGCGACCCTGACCTTTCCGCCAAGATATGCGAATTCTCGCCATCCACCACCTGACGATGCCGTGCGGGCTGATACGGTCGGAGTCATGTCGGTCATGCCAGGAACGGCCTTAGGCAGCTTGTCAATGGCAACCCCTAGCATATCTGCCGATATATCAACACCTGTAAAAGAAAGTATAGCTTGCTGCGGAGCATCGGACTTCCCTGGCGCCATGTCATGTTGCGAAGGGACTATTCTACTCCAGTCATAGAAAGCCAAATTACGCCCAGTCCCAAGCGCCACCTCGAGGACATGGCCCATGGCAAGTCGACCGATATCTTTCCGCAGTGATATAATACCCATGGCTTCTTCAGATGCATCGAGGCTGGAGTCGAACTGGCGGGCAGATTCACGAGTGAATGTGGGTGGCCGACCGGTCGGAGAAGCTTGGAGATCTGCTGAGGGTTCGCTCGCAAACGACGATATCATCATGCTGACATATATACCACAGCCAAGCGCAACTACCCCAGCGGCGAGCAATGGGTATTTTCTAGCTTTGAAGATGGCGTCGGCAGTATCGTATCCTGAGTGTTCCGTGCCGGTAGGGCCGATCCTTTATAAGTTAGCGCTTCAAATGTACAAAGTTTCAGCAAGCGAGCCAACCTGGTCGTAACATGTTGCCTCGGGTGCGTTCTCCGGCTTAACGGTCGTGACGCGAGGGTAGCGGATTCTGTCGTTCTTGGTCCATTCGCTCCAAGAAATGCGCTTGAGTAATGGAGATCGCGCCGCAATCTGAAAATGCAGGAACGATGAGTGACGCGCATATTAGGTATTCGGAGTAGAACTGGTTTCAAGCTTTCCTAAAGAACGATAATGAAGGTCGAAAGTATAAGTCGTTTGCTCCTCGTATAGTTTGGGATACTTGATTCTTACTAGTTTCCACAGACACTGAGAGTATAATGAAAGAACTTCTAAATACTAAGTGATGAATAATAAGGTTAGATTTAAAACCTTATAAGGGGATATAAATAATAAGAAATTTTCCTATATTAAA